ACCATGCAAAACAACAACTAGAAACACAGAAGATTAATAATAAAATATCAGAAAAAGATAATGCAATGGAATAATATAGAAGTAGAATTAAATTAATGGACAAAAGAATCAGCAAAATAGAGGACAAATTCTTTCCTATGAATTTGTTTGCAGAATAATCAGAAAAAAGAATGAAGAAAGACTAAAAGTTATGTGGTATATAGGCTAAAGCTAGGCCGGCAGGAATGCATAGGGAAGCAGGGCACAGGAAAGGGGTAAACACAGGGTGGAGGTGGGAGGGGAGCTGTTACATTGTGGAGATTGTAATCAGTGTCACAAAACAAAATGTATATGAATTGTTGAATGGAAAACAAATCTGCTTTGTAAAACTGCACCCAAATCACAATAAAAAATTTTAAAAAATTACTGTTGGTGCTAGAATAGGCACTCCAGAGGAATAGGAATTCTAAAAGAGGAGGAGAAAAAAATACAAAGAGAATATTTGAAGATTTATTTGCTGAAAACTTCTCTAATATCATGAAAGGTGAGAAAATTTCCATCCAAGAAGCCCAATGAACCCCATACATGATAGATTCCCCCCAAATCACCAAAACATATCATAATCAAACTTTCCAAAACCAAAGACAAAGGAAGAATTCTGAAAGCAGCTCGTGAGAAATGAAACATTGCATACAAAGGGGCACCAATAAGACCAAGTGCTGATTTCTTAGCATATACTATGCAAGCAAGAAAGCAATGGGATGACATATAAAACTCTGGAAGAAAAGAATTGCCAATGAAGAATCATATATCCAGCAAAACTGTCTTTCAAATATGATGGCAAAACATTCCCAGGTAAACAGAAATTAAATGAGAGAATATGGGAATAGAAAGGAAATCAGGGACATATTCAGAGAACAAATTAATTTACCTTTTTTATGTATCACTTAGACATGAGTCATATCACATGCCATATTTATAAACAGAATGGTACCACAGTTCTTAAAATCTCACAAACAATTTTATAGAACCATACATCAACACTGGAAGAAATCCTTACTTCCAACAATCCAGCTGCTGATCGCACTTGTATATATCATAGCTAGGAAGGAATTACTCCTTTGATTTGAAAAACTGAGTAGAATATTATGTCAGTAGAACAAATTCTCCACAAGCCATATTCAGGATATGTGTATAAGCACTGCTGACCTATAAGGAAATATTCTGTAAGACAGGAAGATGGATGAAACCTGGTCCCTTCTCTTCCAGAGCCTGACTCTCTAAGGGAGTGAAGCCACACCAACAAAGTAAATGCAATCCAAGGAATGAACAAAATGCCTTTTGAGGAATGCAAACAATGGGTCATGGGAACATTCTCAGAGAGCAAAGATTCCCTCTGCCTGGTTCTGAAGTCTAAGCTACCCAAAAGTGGGGAGGATAACAGGTGCTCTAAGGTTCGGAAGGAAGATGGGGCAATCTACTTCCATAGTGATACTGCCTAGGAAACCCAAGGAGGGGGCGCTATGAGTTGGGTCCGACTTGAGGGCACATAACAACACCACCAACAACAAGAATGGTCAGTGGGATTTCCACAGGCAGACATGGCCATGGACAAAGGTGGAAGTTTGTTAATTGTTCCAAGTGTTCGTACCTGAGGAGGGAAAGGAGAACTTAATTTTTTATGAAATATGTAGTCTCAGTACAAAAAAAATTTCCACAAATAAAGCTCACCAAGAAAAATCCTCCTTTTGTAGAGTTGGAAGAAATAAAGTAGATTTTTCTTTGCATGGATTAGTTCAAGTCGGATGATTTTATTTAAATGCAAGGGTTGTTTCTGACCACTGGATCTTTCCAGATACCGTCCTAGAATCTGGGACATGCAGATCAAATGCATCTCCTGTCCCTTCCGAGTTCTGTCTCTCTTACTCTCTGTTTTGTGTTTGTTTGTTTACTGAGAACAAGAGAGGAAACTTTCACAGTTGGAACTGGATATTTCTCTGTCTGGAAAATCTTAAGGACATTAAAGATCCTTTCTGTTTGGGATAAATCAAACGTCACCATGTGACTCATTAACAAAAGAAAGGACAATAGATCATTTGCCTACTGATCATGCCACTTCCAGTAACTCACCTCATTAAACACATCCCAGAAGGACATAGCCATTTGTTGTCATGTCTCATAGTTTCTCAGGGCTCCCAAGAAATTGGCTGCCCAGGCACAGCCTTCAGGAACAGAAGAAACGGATAACTCAGAAGCTGCTAAAGCCAACAAATAAACAAGGAAGCACAGAGTAAAGATGACATTTCACTATTTTAACAGAGTAGTAATAACACCAATGATTAGTATCATTGTTCCCAGGGATGGAAACTCTCAAAAATGTTAATAGTGTGTTCATAGGAGAAGCGAAGTACACATGGGGTAGATTCTAAACGTGCAGAACTTGAGATAGGATCACAAACAGTGCTTCCAGAAGCAAATCTGACATCCATGATTCCTATTGTTTTATTTTACTTAAAAAAAAAGGAGACATAATTTATATGTCATGCAATTCTGCCATTTAAAGTGTATGGTTCAATAGCTTTTAAATGTACAAAGCTACTATTTTCAGGTTGTCATCACTTCATCTCTTTCTGTGCATGGAACAAATAGGGCTACCAGGATTCATTCTCAAAGTGCATAGCAGCAGACAGAATCTGTTCAGTATGGTCAAACAAGTTATGCTGTTGTTATTGTTGTTATGCGCCATTGAGTTGGCCCCCACTCATAGCGACCACTTCTTGGGTTTCCGAGGCAGTATCACTACGGAAGTAGATTGCCCCATCTTCCTTCCGAGGAGTGGCTGGTGGGTTTGAACTGCCAGCCTTCTGG